GAAGTAATCGGATTACTGTGAGGGAATGCAGTTCAGAATCATTTCATATTTAAATGACATGTCAGTGGTGTTTCTGGGACGTTTCCTCTCAGAGCTTCGCTTCATCCTCTTCAGTGGTTTCAGTCCTCAGACTTTTCTCTCCTTCCATTGGCTGATTTCTTCTTCTTTATTAAATATGAAGCGATGAAAATGGAAGCAGCAGCCGTCCGACTGTTGTGATGCAGGAGGAGGAGAATCCCCGCCGACAGAAAGCGTCGAGTCAACAGAGCCTGGTGTACCGCAGTGTGTCCCGCCGCCCTCCGACACCGAGCTGCAGTAGCGCAGAGTGCTGAGGGGGAGGGAGGGAGGGGCGTCCAGGAGCAGCTAGACGCATTATTGCAGTTGCTGCTGTGATATCAGAGCGCGAGAGGACGCAGAGGAACACCGTCCGTTTTCTCTCCGCTGCACTTTTCCTCTTTACTCCAGCTGCTCGCTTCAAACCGCAGAGAGCGTCGCGGAGAATCAGCCAATCAGCGCTGCGCTCAGCATCAGCAGCAGCAGCAGCTCCGGGACGCAGCATCAGGAGCTGGATGCGGAGTCTGTTTCCTCTGGATGCTCATCAGAAGCACTTTCCTGCGGAGCTGCGTCTCTCTCACACCGACCCGGAGTCGGTATTGCGGTACTTTGCGGTATAAACGCACCGCTGCGCCACCGATCCTCCGCCTCTCTGCGGCTCCTGCCAGCGGGTTAAAGTGGACTTTGGTTCGGATCGGAAGCTTCCCGTCGTGTGTTTAGTGTCTTTGTGTCGGCCGCCCCCCTCCCCCGCTGCCTCACCCTCCGTGACTCACTTGAGACGCTGCAGAGACCATGTGAGTATTTATGCGGCTTTTCTGCTGCGCTTCTTCACTTCCTCACTAATTCTGAGCATCACAAGTGAACTTTAGTGGTTCTGATTCGGCTCAGTGTGTTTCTGCGTGTTTTTCACGGAGCGTGAACTCAGCGGTTCCGCTCAGCTCGATGAATCTGCTGACGCAAGTGAAATTTTCCGTCACAGCTCTTCTGAATTATGCATTGAGGTCGGACTGGAGCTGCTGCTGCTGCTCGAGCTTCCGCTGCAGGAGGAGCCGCAGTGGCGCCAAGTCCCGCAAAGCTGCGGCGACTTCTGCGGCTTTGCGGGACTTGGAGCCTCTGTGGCTCCTTCATTGGACCTGAGCCTCCTACAGAACCTCCTCCTCCGAGTTCTGCCCCAATCCAGCACAGCTAACTGCCCCTGGTGGGCCCAGAAGCGCTAACTGCCCCTGGTGGCCCCAGCAGACCTAACTGCCCTTGATGCTCCCTAGCAGAG